CTTGATCAGATGGGACGGACTCACTTTTCAGCTTGAGCTTTGACCTTGTTTGGATGAGGTGCAACATAGGTGATCCTAGACTCCCAACCGGGAAACACAGCATTGCCTTCTTCAACCCATTGTTGGACCTTGGCTTCGCTTAACTGCTTTCGAGCCTTCAAAGTCTTTGGGAAATCAGGATGTGATTTGATATACCAAGTCCACACACCAGGATTCTTCTTGCTGTTTGATGAAAGCTTGATCAATCTTTCAAGTGACTGCTTATCGTCCTTGGCAAATTCAGCACACTTTGCTTTGAGTTTCTCCAAATCAAATTGATCCGCCCTCCAAGGAACCACACAGTCAGAGCAAGAGATCTGTGAAAACCCTGACTTGACCGTCTTGCAAGGAACCCAAAATTCACAGTCAAAGTTGAAGGTATATTCGGTGTCGTCTTGATTGTCTTGTTCATTGTTGATACTTGGTTGAGGGCTCTGTAAGATGTGGAATAGACAAAGGTGAGTATATTGGATAATATACACAATAGGTGAATAGCTTGAAAACATCACCTGAGCAGTATCAGATTCCGGGGAATCAACATTGACACCTTCATTGACCAATGGATTGGATGGGGAAGAATAATCAAGAAAGATTGGGTTGACGTGCTGGTGCTTTGATTTCATATTTCAAGAGTGCTGAAAAAGATTAGGTAGGATGGATTCGTGAATATGTGGACAGTAGTAACCCACCCAAGAGGATCATCTGGACTGCGGATGCTCAGCTTCCACACCCACCGCAGTGACTGCGGCGAAATTCTGGGCTACATTTGTTTTTATTTTATTTCAACCCGGGCTTCCTTTTTAGCAAAAGTAATAAAAACGTTCGAGTGTAAAAATGCATGTCACCATGGGTCATATGTAATTTTACACACGAAGTCGCCCAAATTCTAGTGTGCAAAAGGATAATGTGCAAAGCTACGAGTGTAAAAATGTACTGTACCCGCCCCGAAGTAGAATTTTACACTTCATATTTTACATACCTTATCGTAGGTAAAAAATTGAGGGTGTAAAAATGAATTTAGACCGGGGAACCTCCATTTTTGCACTCCAGGACCTTACACACCATAAGGAGTCAAATTGTCCGCAGTGCAAAAATCGAAAAGTATACCCTGAACATGCAATTTTACACGCTTCCAAGTGTCAAAATTTTTTCAACTTAGAGAAAATTCAAATGAAAAGCCAAATGACGTATGGCACCAAAAGACGTATGGTACACGCGGCGCTAGGCGCCCATGTGCCCTATCTCAACCTGCTCATTGTGTGGCTCAGAAAGTTTCTCTCAATAGCATAAGCTATTCTCAAAGTCCACCACTTAATTGGCCAATGTGCTTTACATCCAGCCCGCCATCCAAAACCAAAGAAACACATTGAGAGGAAAAAAAAAACCGACTCCTGTGCTTACCTTCACATTCATTGTCATCAGGAAGAAATTTGTTCATCCAAACATGTATAAGGATAAGTATAAGTATAATGAGTAAGAAACATAACAAAGATTATAACAAATATTACATGATCTTGTTTCATTTTTTCTTTCTCCCTTTAGTTGCCTTAGGGACGACCTGGACCTTCTCCCCCTCCTCCACAACATCTTCTTCCTTGACCACGTCCAAACCCCTCTTACCTTTCGCGGCCTTCTTCTTTGCCTTCGCCTTTGGAGGAGACGGAGACTGTGATTTCTGGCGCTTGTTCAAACGCAGGCGGACACTCAACGGTCCCTTCACGCAGCCTTTCGTCAATTCGGGCTGGGAGGCGGGCACCGTGCTATCCTCCCCCTCCTCCTCCTCGCGTCTCATCACTGTGGGAGGAGCTGAAGACAAAGGACCTGAGAAACAAGGCCAAGATATCAATATGATATCAATCAACTAATGTAGAATTGAGAAAAAGCTTACACTTCTCAGCGCGCTTGAATGCCTCTTTCGCTTTATCAATTTGCAAACCCGCATGAGAGCCCACGGGTTGACTTAGTTTGAATGGCTCCAGTTCATCAACAGCTGGAGATGCTGGACCATGCGAACAATATGTGAGTTTCATTGTCTCATAAATCGAACAGATTCTATTCAAACTCACCTGCTGATGTAAAGGCAAGCTTGGCAGCATTCACCGGGGGCTGACTTTGGACCTTCCCGCTGGTCACCGTACGCAAGGGCGGTTCAATCAAGGGCGGTTCAAATAGGGCTGGTAAGTCTTCTTCGATGTCCTCGACGTCTTCCAACTCCTGTCGCGAAAGGAAAGGTAAATCCCCCTGGGCATCAGGATTCTTCGAGCTGATCTTGGCTATGCCAAGGTCAATGATCTTCTGTTCGCTTGGCATAGGTTTGCGAGAATATATAAGCCAACTCGTTGAAGGTTGTGGCCCCGCAATTAACGAGAGTTCTCGACCGAGAAGCTGAGCACGGCCGTCGTCTTTGCGATCGTCGAAGAACCAAACTCCCCGGACACCATCCACATGCCTCACCACCTTGCTCCAGTAATGGTGGTACCCCCAGAAACCCCTTGACACGATTTCGTACGAGACACCATTGAGAACCAAACTCTCAGGCCAATTCATTTCCCCCATGAAGCTGATACGATCGTCTTCGGTGAGGCCAGCCACACCTCGAAGATGGAAGTACACATTCATCGGCTGTTCTGTAAAATCGAGACGGCACCGTTCGTACAAGCGAGGTATGTCGTCCGTTTCGCCCATGGTTAACTCGTCAGTCCCGTCATTCGCTTCAGCCGACGTCGAATGTTGAGTATGGTCTGTGCGGCACGTGGTGCAGCATCGGAGGTTCTTGCCGAAGAGTCCTTCGGTGCTCCAAAGCGTGATCAGCTGGGCCACTTGGTCGTATCGCAGGTTAGCGTCATGAAACAGATTATTGGTGATTGACACCGTGGTTCTAACAGCGGTCTCGTTCTCTTCGTGCAAGGCGAAAGCGGAACATTGGTAGTCTCTTACAAATTTGTAAGCAAATTGGCGTCCGGCAGAGGTAGGACGGTTGCGTTTCGCCATGAGGAGATACTCCATGAACAAGTCGGCCGAACAGAACAAGTCGGTTACAAAGGAGTCAGGCGAAATGTTCTGAACGGCACTTTGAACTGATTTGAGGCCACGAGTAAGAACGGACTTGATGTGCACGGAGCTATGCAACTCGGCTGAAAGTCTAGACGAGTAATGTTGGATTAATTTGGAAGCGATGTCCTTACCCTTGCCCTTGGACCCCACAATCCACAGAGGCGAGAAGGTGGGATACAATGCCTCCAAGGTGGATGTTTCCCAACATCGATTGAGCTTTCCAGGTTCCGTCCCGGCCGAGTAAGACTGGTAAGACGAATGTGGATCCCGGTTTACGTTTGTTGATCCAGCGGGGCGACCAAGTTTCTTAGGGCGAATCAAAGCATCTGTGGTATCAGGAGGACGACCGTCGTTCACCTCTGGCCGGCAACGAGTCCGTTCTTTTGACCATCCCATTGTTTCGACCACCGATTCCCAGCTGTTACCATACTTGACAGAGATGCCTCGAAGAACGTTGTTGAAGTCCCTTTTGAGGGATTCGGCGAAAAGTAGCAATTGGATGAATCCCTGGATGATGGTACAGTGACCGGATCTGTAACATTGAGGGGCTTTGCGTTAGTATAGATGGGTAGGCAGGATTCCGCAAAGTTCAATCTTACGTTAATATGTAATACTGTCGATGCATGGACTCTTGTCCGTTCGTAGTGTCCGGATAATCTTGCGTGTCGTCATCGTCAGGTAGAGGAGGATCATCCATGGGGAGACGGTCTCAAGCGCAGAACAACATGCTGTGAATATCAGCCGTGTTCCACCAATCGATCCAAGGCTTCGCTTTAGGAAACAGTCGTGCGATTTGGCCAAACTTCTCAATGAGGGTGAGGTTGCCAGGTTGATTCGGTTCGAGAAGATCGAGAGCCAGGCGTTCGAACTCGCCCTACGCAGACGCAGACCCCCGTAAGGCTTCATGAAGGCTGAGGCTGTGGATGATCATGAAGCCTCAACTACTCACCACACGACTCGCGTCCACCACATTGTGATTCTTCTTGATGCGAGTGATTGACTGGCGGTAGTGCTCGTGGCAGCCTTTGAGTTTGCTCAGAGCTTTCGCAGGGTCGTGTTCTTGAAATATGTCCATGTAGGCCGAGACAAATCCTTTCTTTTGGGCAGTGGAAAAGTCAACTACCTGTTGGACCAGTAGATCGCGCTCGTGGTAAGTAAGGTCGGCGGCTTGAATTTGTTGCAAGAGAGTCAAGAAGTGAGCTCGGTAGTGGCTTTCCTCGAGGCCCCACATCCACGTCAGTTGGATTGGAATCCACCGGTGGAGGATCTCGCTATACATGGAAGTCGTAAGCAGATAACCATGATGAAAGAATCGATAAGTAACATCAGACAGGAGACCACCCGCATACACCTTCCCGGAGGCGTCCCGTCAAACGAGTTGTTCAGCCATCCAATTGGTCTGGAAGGTTATGTGGACGTTTGAGCCAAGAAGGGAGGTTGATATGAGCCGGAGACCGTGACTGATTTCAAACAACGAATCAGTCACGTCAGCATGGTGCATGCATGAGGCAAGTGAGGAGTTTCGGGTACTTACTTGCCCCAATGCATTAGGTCCATAATTAGCCGGTCCCCGCCGCCTTTACTTTCCTTTTCCGGGATGAGACCTTTTTCGACCAAAACCTTTCGACGTAAGTATGCTAAACGGCCGCCGTTAGCGAAGGCTGGATGAATATCGACGACCGGAGGGGTAATGGTCTGGCCGGCGCCAGCCTGCCCAACCTGAACCAAACATCAAGCAGGTCAGTCTCTAGATCGAGGTAAAGGTCGCTCGAAAAAGTGGGGGCACTTACTTTCAGAACCAAAGGCCCCGCCTTCGGGTTCTTGACCACCTCTTGAGTGAGGTCGAGCATCGCCAAGGGGTTGGCCTTCTTCGAGGCAGGCCAGGGGTGCGCGTGGAATCCAGAATGACAAAGGACACCCCACCCAGTGTCCTTCTGAATGTCGATTCGGCAGATCGTGCCTGGACATTGAGTCCAAATATGAGTCCCGCTGCACTCGACTGCTGGGCACACAGGATTCCTAGGTATCGGTGAGAAGACAAAGAAAAAGGTCAGTGCCGTTTCAAGAGAGAGAAGAATCTTGAAACAAAATGCTGAAACTTGAAACGAAATACAAACTCTTTGATGTATTCGGCGGCCTTCCCTTCAGCTGTTGGTGGAGGCGCCGCGTACGCACAAAAGTCGTCGTCACAGCGGAGGACGCCAAGGCAGGCATACCAAATGGTTTTCCAAGGACCATCCTTGATGCCTTTTGTCTTTTGCGTGTGAGTGTAGGCGACATGCCCAAAATTGGTGATGTTGACATGAGGCTCTCGAACGAAGACCGTGTCGCCATTTGGGTAAAGAGGATAGCCTTGAGGATCCCGAGTGGTTCCGTGATCAATGTAAGTGACCAGTTCACCCGACGCTGGAACCAGTAACTTGAACTTCTTGCCAGTTTTCTTGGGAGGACGTCGCTTCAATTTCGTAGGGCTGGGTGGAGGAGTTTCGGAAACATGTGTGACCGACGTAGTCGTCTGAGCATCGCTTTGAGTTGGGAGAGGTATCACCTCATCTGGTTCAGGGGTGACAGAACGCGGGCTTGGAATATCAGACATGATGACTTGAGTTTCCGAAAAAGATTCAGATGATGAAAAGGTGAGGTAGTGGTAGAGATAGTAGAACGATAAGAACTGGTCTAAGGGATATAATTGATCAAAATGAGATAATTTTGAAAATTGATAAGAACGGAACAATTGAAGAACTTGATGGCAGTTGAACACCGAGATGGGTCTACTGTCAGGGTCATACGATTGAGGAGGAACAGCAAGAGACGATAACATGAATCTGGCCATGTCGAAAGGGGTAATTGGTTGGGGTGAGCCTTCGTGAAGGCCAGGGGCCGTACGCAGGATGACCAGGGACATTGTGCGTTCGGCGAGAGCTGTCAAGCCAATTGAGCCTTCTGAGAGTGACTGGTGGGTAAGAACGGAAAGAAAGGAGGCCATCAAGAATCGCGAGATGGTGAGCTGGTCTTATAGATGAGCTCGTAGGTTGGTTATCAGACGGAAGGGTGTAATCGACGTTCGTGAGTGACGTTGTTGGTGGACGTGGGCAAGGGCATTTGTCGGTAGGGAGGTAGGGTTTGCCGTAAGGTTTGCGTGTGGTGGTATGTTGACTGGTGGTTAGAAAGGAACTGGGCGATGATATCGAGGTATCATCGCGCTTGAGGGTTTGGTTGAGGATAGTTGGTTGGCCGATGAAGGCCTACATGGAGCCTGCAGGTAGGTGATTGAAACCTTCGGTTATGCCGTGACCGCCGTTGCCGAATCGGAATGTAAATGTTTGAAAATCCATAGGGTGCAAAAGTACACATAGGTGGGGGCCACTCGGAAAAAAACACTCCGAGGGTTTACATCCAACTAGGAGTGTGAGAACCCTGGAATGTAAAATTGGGGTTTTGGCCCCGGTACAGAGTTTTACACCCTCATTTTTTTACCTACAATGAGGTATGTAAAAAGTCGGGTGTAAAATTCTACTTCGGGGCCGGGAACGTGCAGTTTTACACTCCGCGTTTTACACGTTAGGATTTTACACACTGAATTTTGGGCGGGTTGATGTGTAAAATTGCGTTTCACCGGGTGTGACATGCATTTTTGCACACAATCACATTTACACTCCAAAAGGAGTGTAAATCGTGGTGTGTAAAAATCTATTGACCCTTTTTTAAAAGCTCGTCCAAAGTTGCCCGCAAAACTCCAAACTCAACTACAGTCAAACCCCTCTAAAGCCATACCCCTCGGTGGAAAGGGAAATGTATGGCTACAGAGGGGTTATGTCTTTGTTGGGGAACCTCTCTATAGACATACATTCATGAGATGTAATACCCTATAGAAAAATGGCTATACAGTTGTTCTCAGAAATGTTGGAAAAATCCAACATCTCAAGCTGAGGTCGTGGTCCCGAGGAGGTGACTTTTTCATGACATGTGTCACGGAAAAGTCATGGCAGCTGTCGAGTGGAGATCAGTGTCCCTTTCACCGACCTCAACTCCCTTGTGTCCTCTCCATGCCATCCTTCCTCTGATCCTCAACTCGTGTTACAATCCCTTAACCATGAAATCATACGTTTTCACCGTTTTTCTGAAGAGATTGGTCCGTTAGCCTGGCCATTGGCAAGGTGGGTGTGTGGTCATCGAGGTATGATGGAAAGTAAACAAATTTTCATCTTGAGATACCTGTCAAAATCAAAGTTTTTGTCAGTGTTTGTATCTGCGTGTCACTGCTCAGCGCACGGACCCCGAGCTCAGCTCGAGATTTTGCATTTTTCCAACATTTCTGAGAACGACTGTACATAGAGGGTTTTGAAGTGTTTGGCAACCTCGACGTCTAATTGATTCTTTGCCTCAAACTATTCCCCGGCTATTGCTGAAACAGGTTCTGGATTCTCGCCTCGCAGATTCAAAAGCTCAGTAATTGACATTCTGTCAGTTGAACCAAAAATTCCTGCATTCTTGAGTGCTTACTCCTCAAGATCAACATTTGGAATAATTGCTTGGAGAGTCGCATCTTGATTGGAGGTATGTATATTCCAAATACAAGTTAGATTCCAATACAATGAAAGAAGGCATACAATACACATGCGTGCAATCCCATCTCCACCATGTAAGCTAGCCATGCACGCAGCGGTTAAGATATCAAAGGTGTCAAGTTTAGACATTTCCACATGATCCTTGAATCTTTGGAGTGAACAGGAAAGGAATTGTTGTCAATATTGAGCTTTGAAAGCAGTGATGCTACCTGTGTCCAATGGGTGGACATGTGCAGTGAGATTGGGCTTGAAGAATTCCATTTGGATGTTCTTCAGAAACCCCTCAGGCACTGAATGACCAGAGAATTTATCAATAAGTAGAAATATGCAATGCCATTTATTTCCAAGTTGATGATCCCAAGATCTGATCCATTGTCAAAAGATCTTTGTGTCCATCCACACATTCTTGCTTACATAGTATTTAATTTTTAACGCTTGAGGTGTGAGTTTATCAAAGCAGTGTGGAATTTTGTATTGACCAATAAAACAGACCACAGTTCCAAGGCAATTGGATCCATTTGGATTACAAGTCAAGAAGACTGTGTCCTTTGAAGCTTTGACCCCATGACCTCCTTGTTGTGCAAGGCCTTGGTCAGATGGTAGTCTGAATTATGGAATTGTCAGTTAATATCAATAAGAATGAAATAAAAACAATGATAAACAATTGTGTGAAAGAAATAAAAAGTTACACATAAAATAGACCAGTCTCATCCATATTGAATATATTGGCTGGGTTGTAGCCAGAAGTGATCACATGTATACATTCACCTTCACTCTCAACTTTCTCCTGAGAAGCTGAAGCAGCTTCACCATGTTTTTTTGTATTTACATAAGTTGTTTTGCCTGTTGTAACAGTCAAGCCAACTCCCACTGAGATTCAGCCAGGAGTTGCTTGGTATACCTTGGAGTCAGGAAAATTCCCGCCATTGTTCCTTGATTTTGTCCCCAGATAATGAAAGGCTGTTTTGATTTGCATTCTGAATGTATGTAACAAGAAGTTCATCAACTTCAAGAAATGTGGCATCTTTTGTCCGCATGACACTTGCTAGTCTACTGATGTAGTAAACTTTTTGCGAATTGCAAGTTCTTGTTTGATCCAAGACCTGATGAGCAGTTGTGTGAGTTTGAGGTGCAGATAGAGTGAGGCAAAATGTCTAGCAGTCTTTGATTGATTCTTTCCATTGGCATGGTACCAAGAGTGCAACTATACTATACCCGTATCGGTATAGATGGGTATAGTAACGGGTTGTGGTACTATACTGGCTATGAGTATAGTATTGGTCCTTTGTACTATACTACATGTGTAGCCAGTATAGTAACGGATTTTAAATCTATACTTTGGGAGTATTGCCTATACTCCCGATATTGGAAGAATCTAACTTATCAGGTCGCCGGTCAACAACACCTGATTCATATCTCACTCACAACCGATTGATCCAGCTCGACTATCAACAACATCAGCAACAACAAGTCTATCGTCACATCTCACTTATTCAACCTTAACAAGATCCCACAACTCCATCCACTCAAGTCGCACTTCAAGGTACTTAAACAACAAAAAGTGGCTGTTGATACTAGAAAACTTAAACTTATAAAACAACAACCTAAACACCCTCAATCTACATCGATCGGCAGTCTGTTTAAGCATTCAAATATTGTAAGATCTCTTATTATTATGAAATAACATTCAATTCCAATCATTTCACTGATGTTCTGTATTGATGTCAATTCCTCAATCCAATTTGCAGCTCGATTAATTCAAGTTAAACAACCAGCTCCTCACCTGACACACTCAAGCTTCAATCCGGCCCAACTTCCTCTTATCTGCAAGCAAAGGTTTTCAGCTTCTTGACTGGTGCAAGAGCAAAACCTTTGTGAAATTTTGATTATACAAACTGGTGTTGTCAATGATCATTTGTCAGCATTGGTCAACTCGAATCAATAACAATATTCGATCTTATCAGACACCTCCCAATGTCACAGCAACACCAATCACAATCTCAATCGGGACCATCTGCCGCTTCTCGCGCGGGGATCCCTCTCCGAACTTCACAGAGGCCATTGAGGCAGCCGAACCATACCAGGGATGTCAGCGAGACTACCGAAGCGTCAGATCTGCCAGAGACAGATATGGGTTTGGAGAATAATCCACCACCTGTGCCACTTTGTCAAAGCAAGAGAGCGTCATCAGTTGCCCAGTCAGACTGCTCCTCTGCGGCTGAGCCTTCTGCAAAGAGGACAAAAAAGTCAAGATCAACTCCAAAGAAGACAGCGAAATCTGCAGCGAAGAAAAATGGTCAAAGTAAGAAGAAGACTGTTGGACAAGCTCCTGCGCAAACTACAGCTCTTGAGGTAGGCTCTTTTATCGCAACTATAATTTGTTACTCATACTGAACAGTTCAATAATAGCTTGATGAAACAGTGATCAACTTGGCCCAAGATTCTGGAGCAGAAAACTGTTGATCACATGCTCCACGAAGGTCAAAATCAACAGTACTTGCGACTGAACCAATCTTGGACTATTTTGAGGGGCCTATCCATCCAAAGGAGGATGTGAGCCATATCTTCTATACAACCTTTGCCTTACTAACTCGTGCTGATCACCTCAACCTCTGAAATAAATAGCCTCCAGATGCAGAACCAACTTTATACCATTGTAAATGGTGCAATCAGGATGTGCGGGGTGCAGTCTCATCAAACTCGAATCTTCTGGCCCATCGTGATGGATCAAAGCAGAGTTCAAAGTCGGGTAATTCATCATGTAATAAACGCAAGGAGGCAATAGATTCTGGCCTATCTCTTCCTTCCACTGTGGCCAAACTTCGTGAAATCAAGAATGCTACCAATAGTGGATTTTTACCAATATCAGAAGCATCTTTAGCTGCGATAAAATGTCGATCAAAATTCAACAATCAAGTATTGAATCAAATGGTGCTACTTTGGATGCTTCGAAGAGCATTACCTTGGTCAAGGATAGAAGATCCTGAACTTTGAGCCTCGTTCCGATACTCAAATCCAAGTGCTCATCTCTATGGTCGACAATGGGCAGCCCTTCAAGCCCATCGGCTATACTTGGTGCTCAGTGAGAAAGTTATTGGGCAATTAAAGGTATGTTTACTGTGTTTTCTGATTTCCAGCCAAAAATCTCAAACATTCCTCCCTTTCACATACCAGAACAACACGAGCATGTTTAACCTGCAACATGATGCCTGGACCACAAAAGGGAATTGATACGCATTCCTGGGGTATTTGGTCTCATACATTGGCGAGGATTTTACTTATATCTCCCATCATCTTGGTCTCAAGCTCATATCGTGGTATCACAAAGGGGAATGGCTCTCTGCTCCAATGGTTAACTTTTTGCAGAAGAATGGCCTATATTCACAGATAAGTCTTCCACATTAATTCTCTTCCCCAG